GCCTTTGTGCCTAGAATTTATGAATCACATTCTTTTTTCATCTCTGCTGGCTAATAAGCATTCAGCAGGTGCTCAGGGCTTTATGGTTTGCATGGTGCTTCTTTTTTGACTGGTTTTGATATGTTTTCTGATTTACTTCTCTTATGTAGCTCATTGCTCAGTTCTTGTAATTTTTCCTCGGAATAATGTGGGCTAGCCCTTGTTTAAAGAACATAATACAAGGCCATGGAAGAGACATGGGAACACAAACTAAGAAAATTCAGAGGATGAGCCTCTTGATCTGCAATGATCTTTGATTCAGCTTATGAACTGTAGCCGTGTGATAGTTATTTTTTCCCTAGTTCATCTACTTCAGAACTGACTACATTTTTTCTTCATCTACACACACTTGCCAGAAAGTAAAATACTATTGGTATGAGCAGAAATCTGTAAGGAGCTGTGTTTCCTTTAGTATACCCAGCTAAATCTCAGGTAGGCACTATTCTGCCTGTGACACCTGTGAATATCTAGGGGCAAATTTTCCATTTCCAAGCAATTTTCAAAAGTATTTACTGTTTACATACTAAATGGAAAATGTTATGAAGGGCACCCTTTTAAGCAGAGTTTGTTCTTTTGCTGTAAGTTGTCACAAGCGAGACAGGGAAGGCCCATTTTAAAGTGTCTAATCATTTAGATGCTGTATCTTATTTCACCAGACTGTCAAACAACTTGGCAGACTCAATGATAATGAACAAACAGGTTCAGTTCTGAACACAGAGTAACTCTTGTCTAGCAAGACAACCTTATCCTGCAGTGGATCATCTGGCAGAGGAAAATGCAATGCTCAATTTGCCACCATTTTCCATTAGCTTTCGCCCAACCGACACTGCTATTGAGTTACTCAGAGCTGGAATAACTCCTGGTGCTATTCTCCATTGGAAGCAGAACTTGGAGGAAGAGAAAACAGACTGGTGATGAAACAACACAGACCTGCCAAGCCAGGCTGATTCCAGCCATATTGTGTTCAAAAAAAATTTTATATGTACACATATATATGTACACATACATAGTTTTGCATTAAATAAACTCCACTAAAATAAAAGTGTCCTGGGCACACTGATCAAACAGCTAGTCCAGTATCCTAAAATTGTGCTGGAAGGTTACTGCAATTTCCATTCCAGACATCTGCCACATCCAGCCTCCTCTCTAAGCAGATGAAAACCAGTGGAGCCAGACGGTGATGAAAGTTGTGAGGGCAATGCAGTTAACACTTGTCCCTTAGAAAGAGAAAATGTGATTTTTTTCAGCATGAGCATGTTACCAGGGCAGCAGCCACAGCATTGCAGGGCTAGCACTGCTCTGAGCCAAGGCTGTAGCTGCAAGAGCATCCTGGAAGGGACAACACTGGACCTACTGCCGGAAGAACTCACTGAATGGAAACAGGCAGCCTACTTTGGTGAGGAGGCAGGTGGTTTTATTGAAATGTATGCAACATTTGTGAAAGGAGAAGGTTGAGTTACTCATGGCTGAAATAAGTTTACTCAGCCTTTGATGAGAAAACTTTTGTCCAATACATTATTCACTGGCATTATACAACCAGTTCTGGAAGGAATGTGTTTAGTCATACCATCTTGAAATGGCAGAATTCCGGATTTGGTCCAAAATTTGAGAATGTTTGAGATGATGTATACTGTAAGCCTTTCTGGGTTTACTGGGATCCAAGGGCTATAAGAAATGCCACCCATCCAGCTTTAAAATAATAATTTTTTCATGTGAGAAATGTGGATAAAATATAATTACAGCAAGGCTGTGAGAAAATAAGGGGTTTCAGTGTAATTCTTACCTGTGACCAGCAATCTCAATATTAAGTTAGCTGTTGTATAAGTAAAAATTTATTCACAATAGCCTTCAAATAATAGCTTAAAACTTAGATATATTATTTTTAAAGTTTTTACAATTCCGGGTGAACATCGATGCAAATGCAAACATTTACAATAGAGCTGCAAGACACAGAGCAGCATTCATTGTTGTAGCATAATAAATAAATCCACTATCACAGAATTATGCATGAAAATATGGATTTTATACACATGGATGTGGTTAATAAAAATTGCAAGTTTCATAAATACACCAGAACAGTAGTGGGTTTCATGCTATTTATGGCTAAATTTGTCTCTGCAGTAAAAATAGTCCTATTGCTGAAATGATTGCCATGTTCAAAGTACACACCACTGACCACATCAACAAACACGGAGGGCATTGCAAGGCATCTGCAAGGGGAACAGGAGTAGTACTGATTTCTACACTTCTGCACCCATTCATACATGCCTGGGAATTCCTGTCCTCTTCAGCACCATTTCCTTTTCCAGCAAACTCCTTGGGACCACAAGTTAACCTAGAAAAACCCTTTCTGTCATGTTGCTGGATGCAATAGTAATGGAAATCTGAACACATTTCATGCACAACAGTATATAGTAGGAATTAAACTCCTGATTCACACCCCATATATTCAGTTCTTTATGATGCTGCAGTTTGAAAATTCACCAACTCAGTCTGATAAATTGTTTGACTATGCTTTCTTTGTAGCCAAGACAACATCTAGGAGATGTCTCTCAGAGGTTCCCTCAATGACTCTCTGACTTACTAACATTTTATTTTCCTTTTTGCTGCCAACACATTAATTTTAAAATGAAAGATATAATATAGCTTTGAAGGTTAGCATGTGAATGCTGACTGGAAGCACTTGGTAACAATGACATTGCTGAGGCCTGCTATCACAAGGCATAAACACCTAGCAGATCACTGATTTCATCTCCAAATGAGTTGGTATGCTTGCAAAGATAAAGGAATGACTAGATGTGTCCTCACTGTGCATCACTGGTGGCTCTGCTCCTGCACCAAATTCAGTCAGCACTGCATTCTGATGCCAGACATGCTACAGAGATTTAAGGCAGCTGAAGACCCATCCCACAGGCTGCTGTTCCAGGTGGTGGTGAGACAGAAGGCAGAATGGCCTGGGTCTCACCTGGCTAAATAACATGTCCATGGGTGGGTGGATCATTTGGGATTTTGTGGTAACTGGTGAGAAGATGAGTGGCAAAAGACTCCTTGTGGCACAGTTGTGTCATTTGGGCAGTGAGCAGTGAAGTGGGGCAGACATGCTCAGATCTCAGGACTACCAGCTTCAAAATAAACATCTCTTCCATAACACAGCATAGTCCTGAAGCAGATCCCTCGACACAATCCTATCTAACCAGTCGGTGACACTCACTGCAGGCTGAGAAAACGCTATTTTTTCCAATCTTTCTGTCAAAATTTTTTGGTGCAGAGTGAAAGTAAAATCCAAACCCCAGAACTTGCTCCCAAATGGAGCCAACCACCAGCTCTGGATGGCCACGCCTTCCCCCACTTCAATGCAAATCAGGAAGTGTTGAACCACTACGACTCAAAAAAAAAAAAAAAAAAAGTTCACTTGATTAAGTAATACTAAAGAGTCAAGCCCAGTTTCATACTGGGAACATGACAAGGTAGACATTGTCACAAAAAGCTATGAACAACCACAATGACAGTCCGGTCCTTCATTCTTTCAAAACCTCTGTCACCTTTCTCAGGCTTTTATGTGATACATTTTTAAGCTACAGACTTCTAGTAAAATACAAGTTTTGATTGCAAACTGGATTATCTCATTAATATTTTGCCAGCCTATTTGCATAAAAGATCTCATCAATTTGTTTTTCACCAAGAACATTCCTTAAGGTATTAGAAAAAAAGGTGAGCTGTAAGTCTGAGCTCCACTTTTGAAATACTCACTGAGAAAATAAAACTTATGCAAAACACATGGAAATACACTAAAATAGTATTAAACAGTGTATTAAAGAATTTTTTTGCAATATTTGCAAGTTGTATTATATTTGGAGTTCCAGCTGTAAGCAAAGCAAATGTTGCAATGTTTACTGGAATTTTGTCTTGCACAGTTTCAATAACACAAAATACCCACCTACCACTGCATCTCTGCTCAGATAGATTTCATGCTGGCCATTCCTCCTCTGAAAGTCAGACCATACTTTTTATTGTATCTTTATTGCAAAATCATGAGGCAGCTCTGGCAAGTGGATAGGATGAAAAATCTCCATTAATGTATTTGAAGGAATTTGTTCACACTGGACTTCGGGAGATCTATGGTACAGCTTAGTTTAGTTTGGTCTCTGAAAGCCACATGCAGATTTTGTATATACAAAACTGTATTTTTGCATTCATACCACTCTAAATCAGAAAAGATAACCCTGAATTTAGCCTAAAAAAGAGAGTAAAGAAAAGGTTCAAGCCCATAATTTTATAATTTCATAGTTACTGTTATGACATTAAAATAGAAGTTATCCCTGCTGCTTCAGTTAAATGCCAAAATGTTTAAAGAAAACAGACCCTGATTCCTGACACATTTTTCAAAGTGAATACTATCTTTGCTTCTGTATGGCAGAAAACTTAACAGATTGCTGTAATATAAAAACTACAAAAAGGATGCAGCATCTGTCATTGTTCCAATTGATTTGTACTATTATTCCTACTTCCCCACATCTCTTCCTCCTGACCTTCAGTAAACAAATTATTCTCAGCTTTAGGTTCCATAACTGCTCCCTGATCTTGTTGTGAGAAGCTCTGGTACTGGATTACAACATTTTTGTGTTCGGTAACACTAGGGCACTGGAGAATTAAAAATAAATTAAAAGCAATCAGGATGCTATTATGGGTTGTATGTAGTGTTTGAAGACCATAGTGAAAAATACTGTACATCATAGTATGAGATCAGGAGGAGAAAAGGGCAGTATGAGAAGGATACAAGGTTACTGAATGGCTTTGGACTGAAAGAAAGCACTTGAAAACCTTTCAGAGCCAGATTCCACCCTTGAATAGCAATGGGAATTTTACAGGGGTTTTGAATAAACTATAAAATCAGATATATGATAAAGTTCCTCTGCTCTGCCAAAAGCAAGCACCCCACTCCTCAAATGAAATCCACTCACCTGTGAATGATGTGGTATCTCTGCAAATAATCCAAGGAAAGAGCCAGCTCACAAATGTACAGTTTCACAGTTCCTTCACTGAAGTGCACGTTCTGCTGCAAATGGTAACGCAGGTCACCACCCAGTAAGAGATCAACCACCATGAACATGTCCTCTTCATCTTGAAAGGAGTACCTGGAGGAAAGAGTTACAGCTGAGATCTCAGGGGGGATGGTTTTTTAACCGTGCCTTGGCTCTCATTAAGGAGATCCTGATACGTCCCTGATTTGCTCAAAAGGCCCACACATTTGCTCAAAAGGGAGGCATTTTCACTGCTGAGGTCAGTCCTGCAAACAGGCTTTGACTGTGGGACTCTGAATGTTTAAGGGTCGTGCTTTAACCCCAGTGACCGCTAAGTACCGTGCAGATGCTCTCTCACTCCTCTTTCCCCCAGTGAGTTGGGGAGAAGAATCAGAAAAAAGCAAAAACTTGTGGGTTGTGATAAGAACAGTTTAGTAATTGAAAAAAGGGAAGTATAATAATAGTACTAAGGATAAAAACAGTAATAATTACAATAAAAAGGAGAGAAAGAAAACCCAAGAAGAGTAAGTGATGCACAACACCAGTGCTCACCACCCCCTGAATGATGTCAAGCCTGTCCCCCAGTGGCTCTCAGCCCTTCCAAATCTCCCAGTTTATATGAGCATGATACTTTATGGTGTGGAATACCCCTCTGGACAGTTTGGATGAGCTGTCCCATCTGTGCTCCCTCCCAGCTCCTTGTGCAGCTCCTCACTGGCAGAGCATGAGCCACTGAAAAGTCCTGGACATAGAGTGAGCAATGCTGAGCAACAGCCAAAACATCAGAGTGTGATCAACATTATTCTCATCCTAAATTCAAAACACAGCGCTGTTCTAGTAAGAAGAAAACTAATTTTATCCCAGCTGAAACCAGAACATGAAGGCCAGCAGAGCTTGAGCTACTGCCACACTACTCTTATTTTAAACACGGATTAACACCTGAATGCTGCTAAAACAGAATTTAAAATACCTTTAAGATTTTTACATTCTTAAATAACCATATTTTCATTCAGGTGACAAAATAGCTTACAAAGTAGTACCAATAAAATGGAAGGCCTTGAAACACACTTGGTATTTACACACATACAGCTCTAGTTCAGTGCTTATGGAAAGTATCCTGGTAGCATTGAGAGCTGCTGTCTCAGGGGTATTTTCCAGATTCAATAAATATACACAATGTTCTATTAGCTGAGTATTTTTTACAGCTTGCAGTGTAGGTCCAAATTCAATAAGGACTAAAACTGCAATTTTACTGCCTAACAATACTTTTTTTTTCAGTCAGCAACCTATATCTTATAAAATGATAGAGTTTTCATGGTTACTGACTGAATTCTCCTGGACCCTTTCCCAGAACTGCCTGCTGAACACTCTGAGGACCAAATTTTGATGTGATTTAAATCCTGTAAATCCAAAGGTGTAGCCAGTCAATGTATTTATGTATATATATACATAATAATGTTTGGGCAAGCAGGAATTTCCATGTGTTTCTACTTACCTTGGCTCTGCTGCCATTGCTCTGGTTTTTTGTGGTCTGAGTGAACCGACAGAAACTCTCTGGATTTAGTTTCTAAATGCAAATGTATAGGATACAGTTTTCCCAAATGGGAAATGGTAAATACCTTACTTCTGATGTGAAATCACTCTTTTCTTAGAAAGTATTTTAGAATTAATTTTGATGTGAAGTTATATTATCTTATACCAGGTATATATGGAGCACTGAGAGGTGATCCACAGTGATAGTGCCTCTTCCAGCATCACACCATGAGGTGTGTAATGTATGTTGGCTACAGATATGATTCTGTTCTCCTGAACTATAAAATTTATGCCAAGAAAATGGAAAAGTGAGAGCTTCCAGAAAATCTGTGCACACCCTCCCCCCAGAGGCAGAAAAGTCTATATTAGATTATTTTAATTGACAGTTAAGTACAGTTTCACTTTCATTCCCAGGCTTGCACTTACTGAAATGAGGCACTGCTTGGGGGTTGTCACAGATGGTTCATTTTAAATTTAATGCTTGTTATTCTTTCTGAACACAGTTCTGAGAAGTGACTTTCTCTCATACTCTGCTCTTCTGTTGCATTTCCGTGTGGCTGCCAAATGCCAGGAGGGGAAAGTAATTTTATTTGCATTAAGCTTACTTCTCAATAAATCAAACCTCTGAAGCAAAATGGCAAAATAGGTGGCACATGGTGTCTGCTCACCTCTAGAGAGGCAGAATTTTGTATCACAAAAACATATAAACAGGATGACTCCAAATACATTCAAATTCCTCCATGTATTGTGCATTACTGAGCCTGGAGCAATTGCAAAAGTAAAGCTTAAAAGTGTAATTACATTTAAGATTTTTTTTTTTTCTTTTTTGACACTGTTGTTATTTTAGGTGAAAAAATTGTAGCATTGAGCAGTGGTAAAATCATCGTCACAGAATGTCTTTGGTTGAAAGGGGTCTTAAAAATCATCTGCTTCCAATCCCCCTGCCATGTGTAGGGACACCTTGCACACGTTAGACCAGGCTGCTCAAAGCCCCATCCAACCTGGCCTTGAACACTTCCAGGGACAGGGCAGTCACAGTTGCTCTGGGCAATCTGTTCCAGTGCCTCACCATCCTCTGAAAATGTTAATTTTTCCCTTCAGTTACCACTTGACTAATGTACAGATTTTGTTTCCTTCTTTTTTATGTTATTAAAATAATTTTTGAAAAAAAATTGCAAATTAAAAACTCTACTTAAATGGTAAGTGATATATTGTGTCTTGTCTGGGACTAAAGGGCACTCTTGGTGTCTAAAGTCATATGATGATATGTCAATAAAAATGGTACTGATGCACCTTTAGTTTTGAGATATAAATGTCCCTAGTAATTTTTTTGGGCATAGTGTGAAAGTGGGGTAAAGAGTAACTGCTGTGAACTTGATTTTAAATCCAATTATTATTCCTTTTTTTTTTTAATTATGAGTATGTTTGAAGATGAATATTCAGTCTAGAAAAAGACCCATGAGAACCATCCAGAAATAAATGTGCAATCTCATTCACATCCAGGTAAATGCTAACACTTGGTAGAACATGATTTTCATGCCAAACATGTTTTTAGGCTGATATACTCTGGTTTTCTGTGCTTGTGAGCAGGGAATGTGGTCCTTTGTCACCTGCCAGGCAAGCTTTTGCACATTTGTACTTATTAATTATTTAAAAGAGAGATCAAATAAAATCTTTCCTACAGGGCTCAACCAACCTGCACCCATTCACTGCCTTGGGATTCTCAGGGCATCTCTGGGAATCCAGGCTGGGATGACAACAGATGGGTTTTGTCCAGGGCCTGTGAGATCTGCTCATGAATCAATCTCCTGCTACCATGCCTTGCCTCTCAGGTGAACACATGAAGTGCAATCCCTCAGGAGAGAGCTACAAGGCATTCCAGAAGTGACTGTACCTCTAGAATAAAATACTTTGAACCCAAACACAAAACCTAAATAAACACAACCCTCTACAAAACCAAAAATACCCCCAACAACACCAAAACTAAACAGGGAGACCTTCAGAAGTACAGCTTCTGAAGGCAGCATTCCCACATAGGACACTTCTCAGAGGCCATCTTGACCAGATCATGATTTGCTAAGAAAAGTTGGAGCAGATGATCCTTGAGATCCTTCTACCCTTTTATTCTATGATTCTGTGATCTTTCATGACCTGTGGAGGGAGCACATGTCAGTTTTATTTAGATGTTGAAGGTAGAATGATGTACACCAAGACACAGGGGTTGTGAAGCTCCCTATATCCTCTCTGATGTTCTGCTCTTGCACTCAGAGTTATTATTTTTCTTTTGTACTGATATGTGTCTCCGGTAACTCTGCTAAACCTGCCAGAAGTGCTGGTTCAGTTAAGACAAAAGCTGTATAAGCACAGTTTGAAGGAGCAAGCGCGTAGACATGTTCAATATATTGAGATTTTCCCACCCCCTCTGAATTCTATCCCCCCTGACACACATCTTTATGCTGCTCTTACACCCCTTCTTATGGGTAGTGGTGTCATCCAGTTGGGTCAGACCTTCATGGGTGGCATTTCTCTGTCTGGATCAGACCACAGTGTCATTAAGACCACTTCAAGACATTTTCTGGAAGGTAAAGAAATTCATGCTAGTGAGACTGTGTGTCTTTGACCTAGAGGACAGCTTGGGCATGGCAAACAGGAGGAGGTCTCTGGAGCTGACCAGCACTCCATAAGCAGATCTTTCAGCTACCAATTTTTAAGCTACTGAATGCAGAGCAGGAGTTTCTCCAGGTCCTGCTGTGCAGCTGGGTAACAAATGGTATAATTTTCCTCCTATCCTGCTTTAAGGACTAACAGGACTTTGTGTACCAGCTTAGACAAATGTGGTTTGTCATGGTCACAAGCAATCTAGTCCTATGCCTCTCTCCCTCACACAAATCCAGTATTCTGCCTTTACATAAGAAATGAAATATTACCTTTATGCTCCTATTCTATTGAAGTATTTTAAGAAAAAATAGCTTTTGATATATTGGTCTAAGAATTGAAATAGACAAGTGAAATATTGGCCATGAGAAAAAGGAACCTTTGAAAGTGTTGTTGCTGGTTGGGGAGGGGCTGGTGGCAAATCAGACCAGTGGAGATTAGTTTTTGAGCAAACATTGTAATTTTACTTTTGTAAGCTTCTTATCTGTTCAAAGGGAAATGACACAGAAAAAGGTTGATTGGTTTTTGAAATAAACTCAGTGGTTTTTTGGGATTTTTGTGTTAATCAGGTAGCTGAGAAATACCTTCCAAATGAACTGACACATTGTAACTTAGGCTGAATATTAATCAATTGATATTGAATACCAATAATACATTATTAGTTACCCTAAAAACAACATTTTAATCCTCCTTGAAATAAAAGAGTAAATGACTTGAAATAATAATTCTTGTTTTTTTCCTAAGTAGTGTCATTCTCCAGTTATAGGAAAACTGTTCTAAATACAGACCCAGCCTCTCCTTTTGCTTAGTTGAAGAAAAGTTTGAATGCATTATATTCATCTTTCTCCAAATTATGATAAAATAATAAAGCCCATAGCATACAGGGAATTGAATTTTTGAGTATCTTCAGACTGGAAGATAAACTA